GGCTAGGCCTCCGGTTTGTTTTAGCATCCACTTTTATAGGCTGTGCATTAGAAGGGTATGCAGGCAAGGCCAGGATCCATAGAAAAGCAACAGGAAAGATTAGAGGAATGGATTCTAATGGCTATCAAGAAAGGTGAAAAAGAACTGAGGTTTGCCAGTTTCTCAGTCTGAGGTCAAAATATATTAGTCATCTACCAGCTTTGATCAGCTTTGTCCAGTTTCTCTGTTTAAGTGACCACAGAGCTATTCAGAGGATTAAAATGCTTTGTTTGCTTGGGGCCCATTTCATGGAGAAGAGAGGGATACGAAACGGTTAAATAATTTGCCCAGGTTCTCTAGTAAGCAATGAGCTCAACTGGCATCATAATTTTAAATCCCAGAGCTGTCTGCAAGCTGTTTAATCCACCAATCCACACCATTTCTCTTTACAATGGATACCCCCAAAAGACCATAACAATGAAAGATGTAAAAATTCTCTGAAAATTTCCACGTGGGAAAAATAAAGTAAAAAAGATTGTCATGCCTCACTGCTGAGGCCCTTATAAACATCATCCCCTTGTGTTCCCCTAGACTGATGACACAGGACAGAGTCCATCTGATAAGCTGTCAGCAGATGGCTAGATCCCTCATTGTACCCATTACCCACCGACATAAATTCCAAGCAGGAGTTGTTATCCACGCTCCAGACAACAGACGGGGATGAGGAGGTGTGGCTGGTCTGAAGTCAAAAAGAGGGGGTGAGCACACACACAAAAAAATCCTAGTTCTCAAATCCATCAGGTTTTCTGTAAAACAAATCCATCACAGAGCAAATGGAGCACACTGGTGTATACTCAGCTAGTTCCAAAAGGTAATACAAAAAGCTCAGGACTGTTTACAGTATGTGCCATGCTATACTTTCTGCAACGAGGGTGGAAGGAAATCAAATGATGAACCAAAATCAGGTAAGTCATAGTTTGTGGAAGTCAGACTTCTAATATATTGTAAAAAAAGACAGAAAATCAAACAGCAAACGGCAACTCTAAAAAATAATGGGGCTAACTCAATATTACTGGCTAAAAACCAGTGGCTTGGGGTTATGGAGATAATAGCATCAATTATTATTTGCCAAATGTCCAGCCTAATCCAGGCCGCCTTATGTACATACAACACTGAGGGTTAAATGCACTTACTGAGCCTCACTAAGTTCAGTGGCCCGTCAGGAGATGTTGACACAGACACATACAGAACTGACAGGAATTGGATTATTAGAGAAGACATTCAAATTATGATTTTTTTTTGTTAAGTTTCTAAGGCAGAGACAATATAACTGTACCTAAGAGAGATAAAGGGCGACTAAGACCACTGGTCTTTACAAATACAATCAGTCAAGGTGTCTGGCATTTTAACCCTTCTGTTGAGAAATTGTAGATTTTAGGGCTTAAATAGCTATGAGACTCTCTTTCTGATAAAGCCCCAATTCCCACTGTGGCAGCTCAGTTCTTAAGCCACCTCTGCCACTAACTTGGCTGGGTGATTTTTGGTAAACAGCGTAATCACTCAGTAAATTCATTTCCTGTCACCCACACATGCCAAACTACTGTGCACAAGAGGACGAGCCATGCTTGAAGAACCAGTTATTGGTGTAATTGGTAAATGCCACTGATATTCAGCAGGGAGTTTAACAATGGTGCTGCTTACTGATCCTGCTTGAGGGTCCAGCTTGAATTTAGATATGAGATGAATGCTGCTTCACTCATACAAACCTGTATCAGTCCACAGTCCCAGGGCCTCTGAGAAATCAGACAACACCAAAAAGAAACCTGACACAAGGAGTATTAATCAAGAACAGAACTTGGGCACAAAAACTGCCCTTCTGAATGCTTCTGAAGCTGGCAACATGGCTAAGGGGAGGGTCTGTGCTACAAGATTTTGAGAATTAAATATTTTACAGACTGCAAAATGGGAGATGGGAAAACTAACCAACTTCCCTCCAACTCTTCTATTTCCTGGCCTAAAGCATACCATCCTTGTTATAGACAGACCTGCACTGATTCTGAGGAACAAGCCTTTCTATAAAGCCAAAGTTGAGTCATCCTGTTGCAAGACATACATGAGAAATATTTCTGCTAAGCTCTCCCTTTTATTTCAGCTAATGGCTCCCTTCCCTTGTCAGGACCTGTGAACTCCATAGAATTTACTGCCATAATATAGCCCAATTTGGCTAAATGACTTGCCAAAGCATTTATTGGTACTCAATATCTCCCCTTTGGAATATACATAGTCACAGGAAACATTTTAACATCTCTTTCTCCAGGCTCAAGCCTTTCTATCATAACCTTAAATAGATAATATATGCAAAAATGCATTAAAATAAATAGCAAAGTAGTAGATGACTGTAAGGTAATATTAACCATACTTACTATCATTAGTCATTGCGGCAACCAAGTCAGAAAACTTTTCCACCATCCGTTGTGAATTTTTTTTTTAAGGACTCACATCAACTTTTTAAAATCCACACATCCATGCTTCCCAGGAAGAGCCATAGGTAGGGTATGGAACATTGGATACATCAAAGACTAAGTCCCCCAATAGGCCAGAAGTTACTATTTAAATGACACAGAGTAGCGACGTAGAAGTAAAGGGTAGAGGAGTCTAATCCTGAATGACCTCAAGGATTCCTCAGCATAACTGTTCAGAGCTTGAGCTATTCACAGGACAACAGAAAATACACAGGTGACAGTCCATGGTCCCCCAAATATCCATCTCTCTGCAGCAGACATCTCTAAGTGCCATCATCATCTACATATACCTTCAAGGGTGACCTGGTCAGGTTAATAGGTTAACTTCTCTGGTGAGACAGAGGTAGTAGCAAAAGATTAATAAGGATGAAAGATGAACAAGTCCACCCGACCTCAGGAGAGAAGAAACGAGTTTCCTTTTTCTACCCGAAAAGGCCAAAATCATTTCTAGAATAGTTATTTGTTGCATCCCCAGCCATTGCTTAATGGACAAAAGAATCACAGAACATAGGCTGTCAAGAGCTAGAAGTGAAACTCTGCCTAATTTTGCAGATGAGCAAACTGAGGTCCAGGAACAGTACTTTCCCCAAAGTTACACAACTATTTAATGCCACAACTAAGTCTCCACGGTCTTCTAAAAACCTCTAAAAACCTTTCCACTAAAAACTATGGTGCTGCCAGGTTTGACATCATCACACCAGCAGCAGCTCCAGTCAGGCTGAATTTAGTCCTTTGTTGACCTTCTAGATATGTGGCTGCCAGAGGCCTCAAGACCCCTTTGTGGAAGAGGTACCCTCTGACCCTGACCACCTGCCATCCAAAAAAAGCACTCCTGTCCCAAGAGCCTCATGCAGCAGCGGCTGAGATGTGTTGTTTCCTCTCATTAACAAAAAGACCATTCATAAAAAAAAAAAAAGAAAAAAGAAAGAAAGAAAGAAAGAGGACTGGCTCAAATTTAACACAGAAGGTCTAGCTGGGAGAGCCCTGGATTTCCTTCCTGTGAATGGCATCACTTCCCAAGAAGCTCTCTCTTTAAAAAAAATGCTGCCCCCTCCATCCCTGCTTGATGATGTGAGCCACACAAACAATAGCAGCCTCTTATTCCAAAGCTATCTGCACCTTTGTCACATTTACAAAACGGGAAGGGCTTGAGGCCATTTACCACATTTCACAGATTGGGAAATCGAGGCCAGGAACCTGCAAGCAAAGGAGCTCCCAGAAACACAGAGGTAGCAAGCATGTGGGGCCACAAGTAGGCATTGCCATGCTGATCAGCCTCAGCTTCCCCACAGCGGCTGTCCTGACATTCCACTGACAGGTTGCAAGCCTAGAGGGGGTGAGTTAGCTTTCCTACCCAGATGATAGTTCATCTTTTGGCTACAGATAAAAGAATTCGCTCTCTCTGGGCCCTCACCAGGCCTGTAACATGGAGACAATATTCTTAACCTGCTGCCCCACACAGGGCTGTCACAAGTCTCCTGAGAATAACCTACAATTACAAAAGCAAGGTTCTAATAACTGTCCCTGAATAAAAGACGCCAAGTTTTCAAAACTGTCCCTGAATAAAAGACGCCAAGTTTTCTACCACCTGAAAATTTAAAAAAAGTTTTGTTTCCCTTTCTCCTCTTCTTTCTCCTCCAAGATTTTATAGTTTTAGAACACCTCTTCACACAGAGTACAGAAAGACAGTCTCACTCTTGGTCTTCAACCACATTATTTTTATGTATCTGGCACTCTCCTTTTCAATCTCATTTGTTTTTCTTAGCACAGCTAATGGAAGGTGAAGAAATCAGCTCTGAGTGCTCCTGGGCCATGACCACAGGAGATAGAATAAGAGTGATAAGACAGAGAGGTTTGCAAAAAATAATAATAAATACCCTCTCACCATGGATAGAAATCACCAACCCAAAGTTCACAAGTCAGCCTGGGGCCTGTTTCAGAGTGTACTTAGTAAGGGCTCGGTGCTGCTCCAACCCTCAGAATTCAAAGGCAGACCTCACCCTAGGAGCATAAACTCCCAAATAAAAGAATAATTAAGGGAAACCTGTAGAAGTATTTCTCCAAAGTACCATCATGGAGACAAGGAACCTTACGTGACCACCTCCAGGAAAGAAATGTCACCAGGCCTCTGGGAATTAACTGTGACAGAGGGCATGAGGGCTGGGCCATGCTCTCCAGATGTGATTCAGAAAGGGCACCTGGCTGGGGCTGGACTTCCTGCTTGTGAAAGGCCCCAGCAGGTCTGGGAGGGGACAGGGGGCCAGCCTGAGTGCAAGTTGGCTCTGGCACTATGCTTCTCCCCTCTAGTGTCAGGCTGATGTATTGTACAGAGGTGAAGGAAAGCAAAATCTAACATAGGCACAAAGACAGCAGATCTTTGGAAAATCATATTTAAGGGTTCCACTTTCTGCAGGGATGAGGTGCTCTACACTGTTGAGCGTCTTGAGCACACAAATGACTTATCACTAAGGTCGCCCAGGAAAAATTCAACAAACTCACATGCATCATGGTGACCAGGTGACAGGGGTTGAGCAGGTAGATGACGGTCTTGGTGGCGAACTTAAAGCCCACCTCCACCCCGAAGGTCAGGCACAGGGCTACTAAGAGCAGATTCTTGCTCAGGCTCTCCTTGCCTTCCTCTGGCCGCTGGGTCACCTGCTCTGGCTGGCAGCCACGGCCATCCCTACTGTCCTCCTTCGTCTGCCTCAGGATGTGCCGCAGAGCCACCAGGATCTCCAACAGGGCCACGGTCAGGACCACCACACTTTCCAGCAGCCGCTGCTGCCAAGAGAGGAAGGCAGCACAGTCGGGGCCCCCATTGCCTGCAAAGCTGGGGTCCACGCCCCCATAGAGCCAGTCCAGAAGACTTTGGTAGCTATACCGGGACATGATAGGAAGTGGTTCCCCTCAACCACCGTGCAGGAAACAAGAGTGAGATGGAACACAAGCTCAGAGAGTTGCTCGGGTGGCGGGACCTGTACGGAGGGCACACCCCCACACCCGCACTCCACTCCAGACACGGGGGCACCGACAGCAGGGGAGGGGAAGCTACGTTCGAGGCCTGGGGTAAAGTGCTGGCTCTAACTTGTCCCCACGGCTGTCTGGGGGGCCCCCCGCGTTTCTCCAGTGGCCACCAACGAGGCAGGGTTGAAACGAGCCGTTGGCCAATCTAAAAGGAGAGGAAAAAAAAAAAGGTCTCAAAGAGGCAATTGCATCGGGAATTACGAAGCAGGGTAGGGTAACTAGCGAGGGAAGAAAAAGGGAACCGGGATAGTGGCGAAGCAAGCAGGGGTCAAGGGAAGCCGGAGGCCAAGTGTTTCAGGGCCGAAAGGACTCGGCCGTGCCGCGGGAGCGAACCAGGGGGTAACGGGATGAGAAGGGAGGGTACACGCAGAGGCCAGGAGAGGAACTAGCAGGGACAGGTAGTCGGGGAGGGCAGCGGGGATGGCAGGGACGCCGGACTCCTCCTCTCACGCACTCGCCACAGGGAATCACTTACTCCTGCAACCGCGTGGCCGTCTCTGCCCCCAGCTAGCAACTTCGCCGCAGTCCTGTCCCTCCGGCCAATTTACAGCCGTCCGGGTCTAGCCGCCCGTCTCCGGGTACACCCCCGAACCCCCTGCTCCACCTCCGGCTCCCGCCCTCAGGGCAGCACCTCCCCCACCCCGCGGCCCGCCCGGGACCTGCCCCTTCGCGCGGGCAGCGGCGGGAGGAAGCCGGCAGGGAGAAAGGGAGGGAGGGAGAGAGGAAGGGAGGGAGGCCGGGCCGGCCGGGGGCTGGGCTATGGGCCGGCCCCCTCCCTCCGCCCCAGACCGCATCTTCCCGCACGTCACGCCCGGCTCCAGGAACCGGCCGCCGCATCCCTTGGGGTTCCACTCACCGGCAGCTTGGTCCGCCGCCCCGGCTCGGTCCACCTCTTGGCTCCCGCGCTCCCCGCACCGCGGCGCTCGTCTCCCCGGCGGCCGAAGCCGCCGCCGCCGCCTCGCGCGGCTCCTCCTCCTGTCTTCCTCCCCCTGCAGCCGCCGCGCTCGCTTCCTCCTTCTTCCCCTCCCTCTCTCCTCCCCCTCGAAGCCGCTGCCTCCTCCCGTCCGACTAAGCCGTGCTACCCCGCGCTCGGGGGCCAAGACTATTCCACCTCGCCTCCTTCTCTCTTCAGGACCCCTAGCTCCCGACACCGCCGCCCCTAGTCACACCTCCCACCCTGCCTCTTTTCGGCTCTCCCTGCCCTCTCCTTCCTCCGGACTCAATCTCCGCCTCCTTCCCCTCCTTCCCGGCCTGCCTCGTATTCTGCACTCCTGGAGCCTGCACGCGGGCACATCCACCTTCCTCCCCCAACGTGTGCTGAAGGTGCCTCTTCAGTGAAGCCTTTTGACTGATTCCACATCCTGCGAGTCGCTTCTCCAGGGCACTTCTTTCTACAGCGGACACCTTGTAGGCACTCAGCTGGCCCTTACTAAGTTCGGAGAGGGGGAGAGGAGAGACGACTGAAGTCTAGTGCTGAGCAGCTTGCCCAGCTTTGTTTTTGGGTATCGCCTGGGTCTGGCCTTTTGCCCCTTGAGTCTCCTCCTTCCTCCTTTTTGCCCTGAAATAGTAGACTCGTGCAAGACCAGGATGGCAGATTCTCTCACCTTAGTAGCCATATCCCTAAGCCTCACACTTAAGTGTCTAGGCTAGAGCCTTCTAATCCTTTTCCCAGCTCTACCCTCTCCTGCTTGAATCGAGTATTTTTCTTTCTTTACCTTAGGCTACACAGCCCATCCCTGCCACTTCCTCTGCAAGCCCCCTTTGTTTCCTTCTTCCTACCATGCCTTCCGTGGGAGACTTGCTGGACCAAAACAAACTTCCCCTGACCTCTTCCACTCCTTCTTCCTGGCAAGGTAGCTGCTGCTTCCCAACCTGCACTTGGCTAGCAGTCCTAACACTGAAATGCTGACCCAGACAGTGCTTATGGGGGGTGAGGGGGAAGCCAAGAATTGGATAAAGATAGCTGATTAAAACAGGGCCCTCCCTTCCCGGCTGCTTTCTACCCATTGGCTGTGCTTTGCTTTTCTTGGAACAAGGAAACAGGAACAGGACTTCCTTAAAAATTGCCTCATGTTGCTTTAATATTTATTGAAGACTCACAATGAGTTAGGACAATATTCACAAAAACACAGTTATGCACCATGCCTAGGAAATAGTTCTGGGTGTTGGCTGTAAGCCAGACTCAAAATATAAAATACAGGCCATTGTCCTCCCATCCTTCCCAAGTCTGGTTTTCCTGACAAATTACAGCCTCAGAGCCAGGTAGCCTTGTTTAATCCCAAGCCTCTATACATCCTTTACCATAGGCCCAATGCTCTTCAAGTGCTAATTAGTAAAGAATAACCACAATGAAGACTTGATACAGAGGCTCACTCATTCATTCTTCTTACGTGTTTTGTTAAATCCTCTGCAACATAACAAGGAACATTAACAAGAAAGCTGTGGAGTTCCTGGCAATGACATGCAGCATCTGGAGACCTCAAGTTCCCATATTCAAGGAAATAAGAATGTGGTGTAAAAAACAGTATAAATGGAGCCACTTCAAAATGGAGTTGAAAGGACTTCCAGTCAAGATGGAGGCACAGGTAAACATGCTTCGCATCCTCATGCAACTACAGGAAGAATCACAACTAACCTCAAAACAAAAACACCCAGAACTGCCAGAAAATCAAACCATATGGAAGTCTGACAACAAAAGATTAAAAGAAGCCACATTCATCCAGATGGACAGGAGGGGTGGAGTCATGGAGCATGGGCGGAGAGGACATGATGTGGTGTGAAGAGGTGGTAGCAGCAGTGGTGGAACAGGCAGCCCCATGTTCACGTGTGGTGGATAAAAATCAGGAGGGATACCTTGAGAGCAAGTGATCCCAGCCACAGGCCAGACTGTACATTCCAGGGTTCCAACTCCAGGAAGATAAATCCCCATAACTTCTGGCTGTAAAAAATATTGGGAGTTGGGGTAGCAGAAGTAACTGCTGGTTACTCAGGAAAGTCTGTTTAAAGGGCCCACAGGAACCTAAAATATATGCAAACCCACCCACTCTGGGAATCACTACCAAGGCAAAAGCTAGAAGGGTGCCAGTCATGTACGGGAAGTAGGTGAAATAACTGGAAACAGGGCAAGCACCTGGCAAGCCTCCAGAAGCCAGGCAGCAGCATTACCCCTTCTCAGACCCCTCTCCCCCACATATAGAGCCACAAAGCGGTGAAGCAGGTTGCCCCACCCTGGCAAATACCTAAGGTTCTGCCCCATACAACTTAACAGGTGCGCTAAGACAGGGAGTCAAAGCACTTCTACCTAATACACAGACACAAACACAAGCAGCCTGCCAAATTGAGGAGACAAAGAAATATGGCAAATGAAAGAGCAAAACAAACCCCAGAAAAAGAACTAAACAAAATGGAGATAACCAACCTATTAGATGTAGAGTTCAAAACACTGGTGATCAGGATGCTCAGAGAACTCAGCGAGTAAGGCAAAAACATAAGGGAAGAAACGAAGGCTACACTAAATGAAATAAAGGAAAATCCACAGAGAACCAACAGTGAATGGAAGGAAGCCAGGGTTCAAATCAACAATTTGGAACATAAGGAAGAAATAAACATTTGACCAAAACAGAATGAAGAAACAAGAATTCATAAAAAATGAGGAGAATATAAGAAGCCTCTGGGACATCTCCAAAAGGGCCAACATCCAAATCATAGGGCTGCTAGAAGGAGAAGAGGAAGAGCAAGAAATTGAAATCTTATTTGAAAAATAATGAAAGAAAACTTCCCTAATTTGGCAAAGGAAATAGACATACAAGTTTCAGGAAGCACAGAGAGTCCCAAACAAGTTGAACCCAAAGAGGACCACACCAAGACACATAATTAAAATGCCAAAGGTTAAAGATAAATAGAGAATCTTAAAAGCAGCAAGAGAAAAGCAGAGAATTACCTAAAAATGAGTTCCCATAAGCTAATTTCTCAAAAGAAACTTTGGAGGTAGGAGGGACTGGTAAGAAGTATTCAAAGTGATGAAAAGCAAGAACCTACAACCTAGATTACTCTATACAGCAAAGCTATCGTTTAGAATGGAAGAGCAGATAAAGGGCTTCCCAGACAATGTAAAGCTAAAGGAATTCATCATCACTAAGCCATTATTACATGAAATGTAAAAGACTTGTTTAAGAAAAAGAAGCAGATCAAAACTATGAACACTTAAATGACAACAAACTCTCCACTATCAACAACTGAATCTAAAAAACAAAAACAAACTAAGCAAACAACTAGAACAGGAACAGAATCATAGACATGGAGATCATTTGGAGGGTTATCAGTGGGGAGGGGGCAAGGGGAGAATGGAGGAAAAAGTATAGGGCTTTAGAAGCATAATTGGGTAGGTACAAAATAGACAGTGGGAGGTTAAGAACAGTATAGGAAATGGAGAAGCCAAAGAACTTACATGTATAACCCATGGACATGTACTAAGGGCGGGGATCACTGGGAGGATTGGGGGTACCAGGCAGAGGGGCCAAAGGGGGGAAAATGAGACAACTGTAATAGCATGATCAAAAAGATATACTTAAAAAGTAAAAACACTTGGTTGGGCACCTGTCTGAGATACGTACCAGATCCCCAGTTGGGGGCATGCAAGAGGCAACTGATCCATGTGTCTTTTGTGCACTGGTGTTTCTCTTCCTCTCTTTCTCCCTCCTCCCTCTCTAAAAATAAATTTAAAAAAATAAAAAATATACAAAAATGGAATGGAGTTGGAGCTTTCATCCCAGAAGAGCTTCCTTTCACATCTTATTCCTCAAATGTTTGGACTGTTAAAACTGGGCAAAATAATCTTTGACCGGGCCTAAAGCAGCCCTGTATCCCCAACAACTGTTTGCAAAGATAGCAAGAAAGCAAACATTTCAGAATATGGGATTTAAAATTACAGACCTTCTTTAGAATTAACATCACTATGTTAGCTTACCTTCACCTATAGAAATGCCTCCCTTCTATTCCTGTATCTGTTACCCTTACCTTTCTTTTAAATGTCCCTCACCTTCACCCTCTATTCAGAATGCTATTTGGGTTTCTGCCTGAATCAGTGCTTCCTGAATACCTATACTTTCAGATCTCAAATAAATGCTCGGTGCCTCCCACTTTGGCCTTTTATTTTAGGTTAACAGATTAGAACAACACAATAAATGGCTTCATTAATCCCTCCAATTTCCATGCTGAACTTCAGTTGGGAATTCGGCCTAGAGAGTCTTTGTGTTTGCAAATTGACCATCCTTAAAGACTGTAGCCAGGCCAACTTCCTCACTGGAACCACAAATTCCTCTTTTTTCATAGATCGAGTAGCCAAGTGTTTTTAGGACCTGGATTCTAATTATATTTGTCTATTTCACTTGCTGCAATTTATTCAACATATCTGTGCCTCAATTTCCATCTATTAATTGAAGAGTTATTAATTATCATCCAATTCCTAGGATTATGCACATTTAAGTGAGTTGAATTATGTAGAATATTATATGGTATCTGGTGCATAGAAAGTG